TCACATCTATTTACAACAATTTGGTGTAATACAGTATGTGGTAACTTCTGCTTCAGCCCTTTAGACAAGTGTATAGCCACCAACTCTCTATGCATCTGAGCAAGTGGGTAGTTACCCCATTAACATTTGAGGCTGTGCAAACCGAGGTCACACTGCACTCACCAATATCAATGTATATGTATGCTAAGAAGAGGCCCAACAGTGTTGAATGTGTGTTGTGTATTCCCCCTCATGCACATGTGTATTAATATTGTATACACTCACATTTGCCCATTCATATATGCACAATTTTAAGACTTAATGTACTGGAATGCACCCTAATTTACCAGGGGGCTGCATGAGTATTCATTCTCAATGAAATTAACTTCACTCTCCTGAGATCCCCCCCCCCTCCTCAAAGTAAGTTGTGGTGGCAGTAATAATAAGGCAATACATTCACATCTTCACAATTTGGGGAAGGAGGTAGGGGCTGATGGTATTACCTGTTAATATATCTAATTCATTGCTAGTGACTACATCTTCACCATCCCCCACCCAAGAAGTTCAGCCCGACACATGGGAGGTTTCCTCAAAATCCAGCCTGCTAGAGTGTAGATTGCTGTACTTAGTGTTGTGTTGCCCCTATCAGTATGGCAGCTTGAACAGCACTGCAAAATCAGCAAGACAAATCTACTGAGGCATTTCTTCTGCTCACCTTTTAACCAAGTGCTTGCCAGCTTTGAAGGCTGTGTAGAGGGTGTGGCTTACACATACAAAACATACAAAACAAATTACATATATTTTTAAATACAGACAAAATGAGTGATTTTACAAAGCAATTCAGGGTAAAACCCACTCAAAACATCAAAGGAGGGGCTTTGCATGCCTATGAGGGAACCCTTTGAAGAATAAGATATCAAATATGCAGAAATTAATTTTTCTGGAAAATCAACATATTAAACAGAATCTAAAAGAAATTCAACTTCAAATGTTTCCCAGACTTACAAAGACATTCAAGATTACTATAACTTGTCCCATTTAATATAGAAATATGAACCTAGTAAAATAATTTCAATACAGCACTTCAGCATACAGCAATTATCTAAAAAAGGGGCACAACTAGGGAGTATATACCTTACGGTAAAATGGTGTCCTTAAAACACGCAGGGACCTAGTCAAAGGGAAGCAATAATAAATGCCTTTAGAATATCAGTGAGAACAAGTAATCATACACAGAAACCAAACACAGATTAAGAAAGCTAAGATGAAATATAGCTTTCATATCAAGAAAATTAAATATAGTAAAAACCAATCCCTATTCATACAAAGCTAACCATAAACATCTCTTTCCCAGAACAATATCTTGAATTAGCTCTACAATTGCAGCCAAGTTTATGTATACTGTTATTGATACCTAGTGTTATCTATCACAGGTTCCTAACACCAGACTGAAAAGCTTCTGCTAATGAAGGTCGAGCCTAATCCACTGCTGCGTATCCACCATCCATTGAAAACAGAGGTGCTAATCACAGGATAAGCACCAAGATTTTTAAAATCTATTCATCATTACACTTAACAGGGAGATTTATGCCTTTCCTCTTTGATGCTGATCTGACAAATCAACATATCAGATTATTAAAAACCCATTACGAAGGGTAGAGTGGTTCATGCAGGGTGGGTTTGTGCTGTGAACATGTGTCAAGGTAAGACAGATGAGCAACAATAATGGTTAAAGCAAATAAATATCTTTAGGGAGCATGAAGAAGTGTGTAACTTGGTCTAATAGATGCTACTGAAACTTTAGCAGACCAAGCTAAAGAAAGCAAGAATGAGGTGGTACCTTCCGAGTCTCGGGCTAATGTACTGAGAGGCAAGCTACAAGTTGGGACAAGAGATGAGAGTTGCCAGCTTTGCCCAAGGCAAGATTGGAATCTTCAGCACTGTGGCTCAAGGAAGAAGCACACATTCATCCATCTAAAATCAATTTCCTATTCTGTACTTTTACAAACATCTTTATTAAACTGGTTTTCAAATGTTGCATTCAATGTATCTTAATTCTTTCCAAATGAAAACCACCTATATCAAATTCCTCTCTGATAATCAAGTCTCAACAGTCAAAGTTTCAGTTTCCAATTTACCAATTCTCCTATTGAATGTATAATACAATCAATTCAATAAACTCATTTCCCCACACAATACAAATTCAATAAAACAAATAAAAATATGGCTACTCAAACAAGAGTACATTGTTTTTGAACCTCTGCAAATTAGTTGGTACATCAATGTGGCTTATTTCCATCCTTACACATTGAACCTCAAATCAGATAGGTCTATATAGCTATATAGCTAAAAGTATTAAAAATCACCCTTCATCTAAATCTTACACCCCTTCACACCCTACTACATCCATCAAAGTGATCAACTCATTCATTTGCACTTCTCCCTTCCCATTGCAGGTACCTGTTCATTTTCATTCACATTTTTTGTCTTAATTAAAAAATCTAACAGGGCATGACAAGTTACTGAAATTCCAAGTTATCAATCTTTGTCAGAAAGGTGAACAAAGTTGCATGTATACACGCATGTGTATGTATACACGCATGTGTATGTATACACGCATGTGTATGTATACACGCATGTGTATGTATACACGCATGTGTATGTATACACGCATGTGTATGTATACACGCATGTGTATGTATATGTGTATGTATACACGCATGTGTATGTATACACGCACACGCATGTGTATGTATACACGCATGTGTATGTATACACGCATGTGTGTATGTATACACGCTGTATACACGCATGTGTATGTATACACGCATGTGTATGTATACACGCATGTGTATGTATACACGCATGTGTGCATGTGTATGTATACACGCATGTATACACGCATGTGTATGTATACACGCATGTTATGTATACACGCATGTGTATGTATACACGCATGTGTATACACGCATGTGTATGTATACACGCATGTGTATGTATACACGCATGTGTATGTATACACGCATGTGTATGTATACACGCACACGTATGTGTATGTACACGCATGTGTATGTATACACGCGCATGTGTATGTATGTATGTATACACGCATGTGTATGTATACACGCATGTGTATGTATACACGCATGTGTATGTATACACGCTACACGCATGTGTATGTATACACGCATGTGTATGTATACACGCATGTGTATGTATACACGCACACGCATGTATGTATACACGCATGTATATGTATACACGCATGTGTATGTATACACGCATGTGTATGTATACACGCATGTGTATGTATACACGCATGTATATGTATACACGCATATATACATATATCTACATATACATACATATATATACATATACATACATATACATATACTAGCTATAACATGTCAAGTCACCCAATACTTGTGAATTCATATTCTGATGTCTAATTATTAATGTTACAACAATGGAAATTGTGAAACGGGAGAAAGGTATTCAGGTCCTTTGTCAGAATGGATTAAGATTAACACCTTTTCTTTAGAGTGTCCTTCCTCCCTGAGGTGCTTCCTTCCAGTCTGACAATGAGCTCATACCTCATACATGTTTACCATGCTGGTTCATTAGTAATGACAAATTAGTTGAACATTCATTGCTTCTCATGTAGAAGCCACAACCTGATTTGCCACTTCCTCATTTGCTAAAGGAGCATGTAAGAGAAGTATTGTTTCCATATCTTTAGATGTCTGGTAAGGCTTAGGTAGAAACACTATGCATGTGTTTCCTACAGGATTTAGCTCTCCCATAATACTTGATTTAGTTTTTCACAGGTAAAGACAATGAATGTACTACATTTTGCATACACGGTGCATTTTTAGTGGATTCTACAAATAATAATAATACTCCTTCCTCTATAATTGGTTGTATACTGGCATGTATACCACATGGAATAGCAGTGGATACTTTTGCAGTGAAACTCCTCCAAAGTTTCCTAAGAGGCAACCCAGGACTGCAAATTGTGGTGCCATATTACAAGTACTCCTCTCCATAAAGTTTCCACATAAAAAGAACCTGAAGGGTATCTGACTTGACTGGATATCTTCAGAAAATAAGTTTTCTTGCCTGGAAATTGTTCACTCATCCTTGCCGGTTTCAAATGCACTCGCTTATATATATGGCTCTCAAATTCACTCATCCTTCTCTACCTTGAAATTATTCACACTCCCCCCCCCCCTCTCTCTCGCTCGCTCGCTCTCTCTCTCTCCCCCCCTCTCTGTCTCTAGAAGAAAGAAAAAATTTGGGCCCTAAAGCCAATGTGCCGTTACAACATTCATGTGGGGTTAAGGGAAACACGAAACCAGAAGCCACTCTTTAAATGTCCATGCTTGTAAATCTCAATATCTACTTGGACATGTAACTATATACTTACCTGCTCAAAATTAGTCTTGATTAGAAATCTTTGATAAGCATTTCCTCTTTGAGGAAAAACAAGGTTCCAACAACCTATTTTAATAGTCTAAAACGCTGACAACACACTGGCGTACTACTGATCAAATGACAAGTATTTTTATCTTCCCTTGAAGACGAGCAAAAAGCCAACTCTGCATCATGAGACTTGCAATCAAAGTACTGTAAAATAAATGCTGTTCATATTGCAACCTACCATACTTCAAGTAACTGAAAATTTAGTAAATACTGTATGAAAATATCAAATTTCATCTCTGTGTTTTCACTGTACAATTTTTAATCATAGCAAATGGAACCAATATTTCCTATGCCACAAATACTTAAAAAATTATAGATAGCAAACTCCATATGTACATGTTGAGCTCTAACTTCTATTTGTTCAATGTTCTTTGATTGAAGAAACAGCTACTAATTCTTGCCCTTCTGCTAAATCAAAAGAAATTCAATCCCTTTATAACCACAAGACTACTGGTCATGTGTCCACTCTGGGTCTCATGACCCTTCTCACTTCAATGGAAGATCAGTAACACTGAAGGAACCTTGTTTTTCTATTC